GGGCAGGGCCGTGGCCGTGGAGGCCGCAGCCGCAACAAACCCACCTGCCAAGTCTGCCAGAAGTATGGGCATGATGCATTGAGGTGTAGGCAACGTTTCAACCATGCGTATCAGGCTGAGGATAACCGCGAGCGCTTCGGCAACGCCGGAAACGCCGGCAACACCGAGCGCTTCGGCAACCCTGCCAACACCGGCGGCCATGGCGGCTATTCCGTCGACACCAACTGGTACCTCGACTCTGGAGCAACGGATCACCTCACCAGCGACCTTGATCGCCTCACTGTCCATGATCGCTACAACAGCAAGGATAAGGTCCATGTAGCCAACGGAGCAGGTTTGCAAATCTCTCACGTTGGTCAATCTATGCTTACTGGCTCACACAAACCCCACCACCTAAAAAATGTCCTTCACGTTCCAGGCTTGCACAAACATCTTATTTCAACTCATAAACTTGTTTCTGATAACCGTGCTTTTGCCGAGATGTATCCTGACTTTTTTCGTGTGAAGGATCAAGTCACGAGGAGGGTCCTTCTGCAAGGTAGGAGCCACAGCGGTCTCTACCCGGTGCCAAGCTCCCATGTGTCTTCATCGTTCGGGCAGTCCAGTCGGCACGTCCTCTCCGTTGTCAAGCTCACCTCTGATCATTGGCACAAGAGGCTCGGCCATCCTTCATCTAGCATCGTCGATTCCGTCATTAGGTTGAATAAACTTGCTTGTGCACCGTCTCGTGAGTCTTTAGTATGTGATGCTTGCCAACGTGGTAAAGTTCATCAACTTCCGTATAATAATTCCTCTCATGTAACCAACTCTCCGCTTGAGCTAGTTCACACCGATGTGTGGGGGCCGGCTCGTACTTCTGTTGGCGGATTTAAGTATTACGTGAGTTTCTTGGATGATTTTAGTCGCTTTACTTGGATTTATCTGATTAAGCGAAAATCTGATGTTGAAAACATATTTTATGTTTTTCAAAACCATGTTGAGCGACTTCTTAACACCAAAATTCACGCGGTGCAGTCAGACTGGGGGGGGGGGGTGAATATCGTCGCCTCCATCGATATTTTTCTCGTGTCGGCATCGCTCACCGTGTTACTTGCCCGCACACCTCCCAGCAAAATGGCATCGCAGAACGAAAGCACCGACACATAGTCGAAACAGGCATTGCCCTACTTGCACGCTCATCGCTTCCCCTTCGTTTTTGGGATGAAGCTTTCCTCACTGCCTGCTACCTCATCAATCGCATGCCGAGCGGCACCATTCAAAACTTCACACCCGTTGCCATGCTATTCCATGAAAAGCCCGATTATTCTCGTCTACGTGTTTTTGGCTGCGCGTGTTGGCCTAACCCGAGACCGTACAACAATCATAAACTTGATTTTCGGTCTCGCCAATGTGTTTTTCTCGGATATAGTAGCATGCACAAGGGTTATAAATGTTTGGATCGATCCACAGGTCGGGTCTATATCTCACGCGATGTCATCTTCAATGAACATGTCTTCCCATTTGCTAACTCAATTCTAACAACACCCATTCAACCCGTAACTACACCTATCCCTCTGTCTCATTCCCAGCCAGTAGCACAGGTTGATTACGTAAGAGATTTTGCTTCCTCTTTGTTGGATACTAGCAGGTAGTGCGCGGCGGCACGCCGCGCCACATGAATTTATAAGCTATTTAGTTTCTTTGTAATTCTTGGTAACTCGGCCCAAGACTTGACTCATTGCAAAATAGTTCATACAAGGAAAGGAAAGGGTGCATCTGGTTGGTACATAAGTGATTTAAATCATGTAGTGATAGTGGTACTGGATGTAGAATTACCATGGTAAGTGATGGAGAATTTGGATGGATATCGTATAGTGGAGTTAAGCTAGGATAGGTGATAAGGCATCTTGAAATGCGAGATTTTATTACATAAAACAAGAGATACATTTCATACAGTGGTAACTGCATTTCAATAGTAAGGACCAAATTTGCTAATCTGGTGATGTTTTATGATTCCAATCATTTTCATGGCCACCTTCCATATAAGTGTTAGCGACGAAGCGGTAAAGAGCTTGTGCAAGCTCATGTAATGACTAATAAAAATAATACGAAATTCTTCAAAATTAAATTTGAAGTCATATAATTCTCAAATTAAACATAAAATTTAATTAACACATCATAAAACCTGAATAAAATATCACATTGGTTTAATTCAATGCAAAAAATGACAATTTTAGTATATGGTATTTTCGGCAATTTATATATAAAACAGTGCAAAAACATAAAATATAAACTTAAAATGTCCTTTTTTTCGAAAAATAACTTAAAATGTACTGGAAGACAGAAAAATGCCAGAAATATTTTAGTCCAAAATACCCACGGCAACCTATTAGAGAGTCCAGTGCAGTAGCTAAAACCAGAAAAATAAATCATCTATACTGGGCTGAGATTACTTGGGCCAGAGCCCATCGACAGAAATGGCCCATTAACGCCTGAAGGCCTGCTCATTTTCTTATGCTGTGCTCGTTGGAGGATGAGATTAGACAACAACATATAATTAGATTGACAAACACTGTGTTAGTAGTTTCAAACAATTATCACATGAGCATATATCTTGCAAATAGAATGTTCAATGAAATGTTGATCCAATACTGGCACACACCTATGTGCATGTGCGTATAGAACTGAAAAGGAAACTATCTGATCTTAATACAATAACTCAGAATACCCGCTAGCCAAGCAGTTTCATCAGCCAGATGCTCGTTCTATCTGCATGGACATATACTGAAGCAGAATGTCAAAATGATGACATAATGCGAATCTTGTTAAAAAAACAATGCATGAGCAATTGTCATTTTTATCATCTATCACAGATCACAACTACTAAATAAAACTTTACTTAATCCCCTTACGCTTCATTACCTTAGATCATCCTCTCAATAATGTACATATGTACACAAATTAGAATGATCAAGCTTTACACGTCAGTTTCTTTTACACAACTTATTATTTAAAAGCAAAGGGCGCATATACTCGCGCATTCTAACTGGCATATTAGTTCTATGAATTTAGAAAACTAAGTTTCTTGTTGTTTGAAAACAGATAATGCAAAAGCAGGGTGGTCCATATCTAGGGGAGACGTATGCAGAAATTAGAGAAGAGTCGCCACCAGGTCCGATACAAGTGGAATTACATGATCTGTTTGAAGATGATCATACATGCTTAAGGTACAACCATAGCTAGCGAAACAATGGCCTGCTTTATTACAGTTCCTCTTAGGAGAAGTAAAACGACACACTTCAAAGTTTTGCTTCAGATATTCCTTGATCTCCTCTTCTAAGCCTAGGTAGAGAGCAGAGAGGCCACATTCATCATTGTTTACCCCCTTCTTCAGCAGCACTGAATCTGTTTCAAGGCCAATAGGTCTGGCTCCTTTATCCATTCCTAGCTAGGCACCCCATATAACAGCCTGATCTCCATGTAAGTGCTCCACATACTTTTACCTCTCCTTTATGATTCCTGATGACTGCACCCCAACCGCCAGCGTTCGGTTCAGGGTGGAAAGTGCCATCAATATTACTCTTCAGTTCATTCTCCATGGGAGGGAGCCATCTGATGTGTACCCTCTCCAGTTTGTTCTGTAGGTTGTTTTAAATCTTACTTCAAATGTCAGCCAAAGAATGTTCGTTTTAGTTATCACCTAATAAACCTGTGAGAGCATATTAATTCAATTAGTACATAATAAATTGGTGGGGGCATATTAATTTAATTAGCACCTCAATTCATCTAGCTGTTCAATGAGATTAAAATAGTTGATTTGATCAGCTAGGGAGAGAAGCAAACTGTCATCAAAATAACCCATATATTTGACGAAATCACTACTGATTTGTTTTCATATAAATTGATTAGCCCAGATGATGTATTTATGCAAAACTTAAGAAGACGTCTAGGGCTGGGCAACATTCACCAAGCACCAGAGTCCATCAGCCTTGCTAGGAAGATACAGGAGCTTCCATCAAAAGGCTTGAAACCTGCAAAGTAATGTACAACCAAGCTCTATCTCATGCATAAGCTTTGTCAGTGTCACTACAAAAACACTATTTACATAGTACTTCCTACCATTATATCAAGAATACAGAATGTGTCCTTGCACTCCCATGTTCTTCACTGTCCGAGGTTTTTCAAGTGCAGGAAGCGTTGCCTGCAATGTTCACAAGCAATAGTTCAGACGATTGGTAATGCTATATATAAAAAATTATAGGTAATTATTGGAGAAGCTTGTAGAATGAAATGAACTTGTAGAAACAGAGAGCAGATGCGTTGTCATTTGGGATCAAGAAAATTTTATTTCTTGTTCTGTTTGCTGGTTTGCAATTAAGGGTCTTCATTTTTCACTTCTCAAAATGACTCATATTGGAATACCGGACCCAAATTTATTTTCTTGCATCCATGGCTCTACAAATCTTGCGTCGAATAAACACAAGTAGAAGTTAATGCTAGGAAAAGAAATCCATAGACTAACTCTACTGAACTTGAAGAACTCGTGAAAAGTTAATTTTTCGAAATTCAGGTAGAGCAGGAACAAACCAGTGTACAGGGCCGCCTTCTGCCCCGTCGACGCCTGCTCGCACAGGCAGGCACCGGGCACGCGGAACATGTCCAATGAGGCAAGGCTGCACGTACCCATGGCATGGAGTGGTCAGAGTAGCCATATTTTGCATAAAAACTGAACTGATATATAATGCAAACACTAAATATGTAATTAATTAAGTCGATTAATTGTCGGTTCTTACCACTCAATCACTGCAAAATTCTGTCCTACAAAATAAATCCCATATAATAAAATATAAACAACATGAGATCAACTTTTTCTTGACAGTAAGAAACAACAGAATCATCAGATCAATCAAACTTATCCCAATCAATTTTTTTTACTGAAACCACATAGAAACCTTGGAATTTTCAGAAACAAATTAGGCACACCACTCATCCATCCCGGAAACTGTGTTCGATTGTAAACTTTAAGCAGGAGTCTGCACCCAACCATGAAGCTCACAACACATCATTCAGAGAACACGACCGATTTGGATGGATAATATGGGGATTTAGCCTCACAGGTGGGAGCAGCGTGTCATGCGATTGGAGTAAAGTACTGCTCGGATATGGGTTACCTCCGTGACATCCAAGATGAACCGGACCTTGAGCAGCCACATCACCGGCCCCTTGCCGTGACGACTGGATGCCCGTGGTCGCCTCCAACCGCTCCCGCCGCCGCTGCCAGGCCAACGTCTCCTTGGGCCACTGCAGACTGCAGCATGCCCGCTCCTCCCCACATCCATCTCGCACCTCTCCATCACTGAGGCGGGGAGATGGGGAACTGGGGCGCCTCCACGCCTCGGCAACGACCCTAGCCTAGCCAAAGCGAGCGCATCCGCAAAGAAGACAAGGGGATGGGGATGCGGCGGGAGGGGGCACAGAGAGATGAGAAGAGAGTCCGTCTGATGCCCTTTTATATTAGATATTAGGAAAGGGTGGCGCAGCGGTGACACGGGATTGGACTCGAGGCTTCGAGAGAGACAAGAAAAATATATGTGAAATCGCAACGCAGGACACGTACAACCCACATGGCCCGGTCAAAGTGCTAACCGCTTAAGAAAACACGCGTGAAAAATGTTACAGGCTCAAGATGAAAAAAGAGATATGATCGAAGGTACTCCATGCGTCACACGCGTCAAGTCCACACGATGGGATAGAACGTGGCAAGGGAAAGGAACAAAGCACTTCCGTCACACAATCGCCCGGTCCGTCCTCGTCTGGTTCATCCAACACCACGCAGTCGGACACCGTGGCGTCGCACGCATTGCCACCATCTCCTGTTATGGCTGCTCCGACGCCGGCCGTCAGGGCCGGTCCTGAGTTTTCGGGGGCCCGGGGCGAATCTAGAACCCGGGGCTCTTTAGTATTAACAGGGACATAATAACCAATATGTCTATATATGAGATGTATCAAACATTATTTCATGTGCACTGAAAGGCAGTACTCATATCAAATTACATATGCACATCTTAGAAATTTCTTACAACATTCTGCGATGCATCATTATCAATCTCATCTAGTAATTGTAGTTTCTGGATGAATGCCTTTTACTAGGTGACATGAGGTGCTGAAATTTAAAGAAATAATTGGTAATTCAAAACTAGCTGGAACATACAAAAATACTAAATCAGTTAATAAAATCTTACCGATTGTAAAGTCGAGCGCTCACAAATTACAAGTGCATAAAGCCCAATAATATGTCACTTAACAGTGTCCAGTCAGTCGATGATGGTCAATGTCCTGTTGTAATAATCATAACACGGTTATGATCTGTAACTTTGTAGAAATCACTAAGGCATAGGCTTGTAGCCTACCTTTTCTGCTGGATTCGTGTGTGGCCGCGTGGACAGCGGAGACTGCCGATTGCCAATGGCCGTTCCCGTGCCCTCCTCGCTGCTGTTCGATCTGTTCCTAGCGGCCGCAGCGGCTGCAGGCTCTACGAGGACGAGAGGTGATGGAGTCAAGCTTAGGGATAAGTCCATGCGGTTGTCAAAGGCGATGGCGTCGCTAGGTGATCTGGGATTAGGTAAAACAGAAGGCAATCAGACCAATCAGGCGAGAAATCATTCTGTCCCGTGCCATCTGCGAGCGTCGTGCAACTCGTACGTGCGTGATGGGGGCTGGAATCTTGGACGTTCAGTTATATCCAATTGCTATTTTGACCAGGCCAGGTTCAACACGACAACACATACAACATTGCATTATTTTTCTTCTCTAACAGGCTTAATCTATATTAAGTGCATGTACCTGGGGGCCCCTCTGTTCTGGGGGCCCGGGGCGGTCGCCCCCCTGCCCCCCATCAGGACCGGGCCTGCCGGCCGTTCGGTGTCATTGAAGTCCCGGTTCTAAGCCGTAAAGCATGGGACACTGAACTATTGAGTAGTCATCAGCTTTGCTTTGCCAGACGTTCTTAACGTCGTCAGTTGCATCTGCAGCAGGCCTGGCACCCAGCGGTGCTTCCAGGACGTAATTCTTCTGTGCAGCAATGAGGATAATCCTCAAGTTACGGACCCAATCCGTGTAATTGATACCATCATCTTTCAGCTTTGCTTTCTCAAGGAACGCATTAAAATTTAACGGAACAACATCACGGGCCATCTATCTACAATCAACATAGACAAGCAAGATACTATCAGGTACTAAGTTCATGATAAATTTAAGTTCAATTAATCATATTACTTAAGAACTCCCACTTAGATAGACATCCCTCTAATCATCTAAGTGATCACGTGATCCAAATCAACTAAATCATAACCGATCATCACGTGAAATGGAGTAGTTTTCAATGGTGAACATCACTATGTTGATCATATCTACTATATGATTCACGCTCGACCTTTCGGTCTCAGTGCTCCGAGGCCATATCTGCATATGCTAGGCTCATCAAGTTTAACCTGAGTATTCTACATGTGCAAAACTGGCTTGCACCCGTTGTAGATGGACGTAGAGCTTATCACACCTGATCATCACGTGGTGTCTGGGCACGACGAACTTTGGCAACGGTGCATACTCAGGGAGAACACTTTTATCTTGAAATTTAGTGAGAGATCATCTTATAATGCTGTCGTCAATCAAAGCAAGATAAGATGCATAAAAGATAAACATCACATGCAATCAATATAAGTGATATGATATGGCCATCATCATCTTGTGCTTGTGATCTCCATCTCCGAAGCACCGTCATGATCACCATCGTCACCAGCGCGACACCTTGATCTCCATCGTAGCATCGTTGTCGTCTCGCCAATCTTATGCTTCTACGACTATCGCAACCGCTTAGTGATAAAGTAAAGCATTACAGGGCGATTGCATTGCATACAATAAAGCGACAACCATATGGCTCCTGCCAGTTGCCGATAACTCGGTTACAAAACATGATCATCTCATACAATAAAATTTAGCATCATGTCTTGACCATATCGCATCACAATATGCCCTGCAAAAACAAGTTAGACGTCCTCTACTTTGTTGTTGCAAGTTTTACGTGGCTGCTACTGGGCTTAGCGAGAACCATTCTTACCTACGCATCAAAACCACAACGATAGTTTATCAAGTTGGTGCTGATTTAACCTTCGCAAGGACCGGGCGTAGCCACACTCGGTTCAACCAAAGTTGGAGAAACTGACACCCACCACCCACCTGTGTGCAAAGCACATTGGTAGAACCAGTCTCGCGTAAGCGTACGTGTAATGTCGGTCCGGGCCGCTTCATCCAACAATACCACCGAACCAAAGTATGACATGCTGGTAAGCAGTATGACTTATATCGCCCACAACTCACTTGTGTTCTACTCCTGCATATGACATCTACACATAAAACCAGGCTCGGATATCACTGTTGGGGAACGTAGTAATTTCAAAAAAAATCCTACGCACACGCAAGATCATGGCGATGCATAGCAACGAGAGGGGAGAGTGTTGTCCACGTACCCTCGTAGACCGAAAGCGGAAGCGTTAGCACAACGCGGTTGATGTAGTCGTACGTCTTCATGATCCGACCGATCAAGTACCGAATGTACGGCACCTCCGAGTTCAGCACACGTTCAGCCCGATGACGTCCCTCAAACTCCGATCCAGCCGAGTGTATCGACCATTTTGAGACTCCTCGTCATGTCCGTGATCACATTCGGGACTCCGAACAACCTTCGGTACATCAAAACTCGTAAACTCATAATATAACCGTCTTCGAAAATTTAAGCGTGCGGACCCTACGGGTTCGAGAACTATGTAGACATGACCGAGACACGTCTCCGGTCAATAACCAATAGCGGAACCTGGATGCTCATATTGGATCCTACATATTCTACGACATACGTTGTTCCCTTTGTCATCGGTATGTTACTTGCCCGAGATTCGATCGTCGGTATCTCAATACCTAGTTCAATCTCGTTACCGACAAGTCTCTTTACTCGTTACCGAGATTCTTTTGCTATATGGACTCTTTCGATGGGAAAAAAATCATAAGCCATCTTCTCGGATGAAACTCCGCTGCCACGAGGCGGAACCTTGGCGGAGCCAATCTAGGGTTCTGGCGGGGCTGTTCTGCCGGGGTTACTTCCCTACCGGAGGGGGAAATCACCGTCATCGTCATCACCAACGCTCCTCTCATTGGGAGAGGGCAATCTCCATCAACATCTTCATCAGCACCATCTCATCTCAAAACCCTAGTTCATCTCTTGTATCCAATTCTTGTCTCCAAGTCCGGGATTGGTGCTAGTAGGTTGCTAGTAGTATTAATTACTCCTTGTAGTTGATGCTAGGTTGTTTAATTGGTGGAATATCATATGTTCAGATCCTATATGCACATTAATACCCCTCTGATTATGAACATGTTTATACTCTTTGAGTAGTTACGTTTGTTCTTGAGGACATGGGAGAAGTCTTGCTATTAGTAGTCATGTGAATTTGGTATTCGTTCGATATTTTGATGAGATGTATGTTGTCTCTCCTCTAGTGGTGTTATGTGAACGTCGACTACATGACACTTCACCATTAATTGGGCCTAGAGGAAGGCATTGGGAAGTAATAAGTAGATGATGGGTTGTTAGAGTGATAGAAGCTTAAACCCTAGTTTATGCGTTGCTTCGTAAGGGGCTGATTTGGATCCGTATGTTTCATACTATGGTTAGGTTTACCTTAATACTTTTGTTGTATTTGTGGATGCTTGCAATAGAGGTTAATCATAAGTGGGATGCTTGTCCAAGTAAGGGCAGCACCCAAGCACCGGTCCAGCCACATACCAAATTATCAAAGTACCGAACGCGAATCATATGAGCGTGATGAAAACTAGCTTCACGATATTCACATGTGTCCTCGGGAGCGCTTTACATCATAAAGAGTTTGTCCAGGCTTGTCCTTGGCTACAAAAAGGATTGGGCCACCTTGCTGCACCTTATTTACTTTTGTTACTTGTTGCTCGTTACAAATTATCTTATCAAAAAACTATCTGTTACCACTTATTTTAGTACTTGCAGAGAATACCTTGCTGGAAATCGCTTATCATTTCCTTCTGCTCCTCGTTGGGTTCGACACTCTTACTTATCGAAAGGACTACGATAGATCCCTTATACTTGTGGGTCATCAAGACTCTTTTCTAGCACCGTTGTCGGGGAGTGAAGCGCCTTTGCTAAGGAAAAATTTATATAGTGTGCTGAAATTTACTGTCACTTGTTACTATGGAAAGTAATCCTCTGAGCGGCTTGTTTGGGGTATCTTCACCCTGACCAGTAGAGCAAAGAGTTGCTCCTCAACCTACTGAA